AGGACGAGGGCGAGGACGAGGAGGAGGAGGGCGAGGAGAGCTCGAAGGACAAGGACAGCGACTCTGAGAACACCTCGGAGGACGAGGACAAGGGCTCGGAGGACACCGAAGGGGGCCGAGGACAAGGGCTCGGAGGACACCGAGGGCGAGGGCAAGGGCTCGGAGGACAGCTCAAAGGGCGAGGGCGGCTCGGAGCACGAGAACTACGCGGAGGGTGGGGTCCCGATGGACGAGTTCGAGGAACTGTTCGCCAGGTGCGCGGATGCCGAGGCAGAGTGCTGCCGCCTCACCATGGAGAACAAGGAGCTCAAGATGCACGAGGCAGAGTGCTGCCGCCTCACCAAGGAGAACGAGGACCTCAAGATGTATATCGAGCGCATGTCCCAGCATTGGGCAGACAGCTCGGATTCCGAGTGAGATTGCTTCTGCCTAGAAACGAACGCGGTGGTCACGAAAAAGGGGTCCGGAGGCGCAAAACTAAATAGGAAGGAGCTCTTGAGAAGAGCTCGGAAGATGTATCAATAGCTAGTAACAGCAAAACATATCAAGGAATATAGATGTTGTTATAGTTTGGAACAGCTCCTCCCCCCGCTGGATTAATCCAGGGCCGTTGGGATCAAAGCTGAGATTCTTCTGCCTAGAAACGAACACGGTGGTCACGAAAAAGGGGTCCGGAGGCGCAAAACCAAATAGGAAGGAGCTCTTGAGAAGAGCTCGGAAGATGTAGCAATAGCTAGGAACAGCAAAATATATCAAGGAATATAGATGTTGTTATAGTTTGGAACAGCTCCTCCCCCCGCTGGATTAATCCAGGGCCGTTGGGATCAAAGCGTTTCCTGTTTCTCCCTCTCTCTCCTCCTCCCTCCCCCCAGTCGCCGTTTGAGACTCAAGGCGCAGCCAGCCAACGGAAACAACGACGCAACACCACAATAGCACACAAACGGCGGCACACAGGAAGCAACACAGCAACGATCATGACGCCGATAATCGGTCATCAGAAACACCACCACTGAGACAATAACGGAAACAGCCGACAGAACAGCGACAGAACGCAGCAACATCATACTAACGACCCAAATGACACCCACGAACTAAATAAAGCAGCCGTGGTTGATGAAAAAATACATCCTTGCAAAAACACGCCTTTGCCACCCTCCGTGTCTGTCTGGGCTCAAACGCGTCAGCGCGCCAGGGGATAAGGCGCGCCTGCCCGTTCCTTGCCAGGGCCGTCGGCCAGAGCCGCGCCAAGGCCGCCCCATGGCGACTGGACGCGTCTTCCCCGCGCCTAAGCGGGGCAAGGCGCGCGCTGTCCTGAAGACGGGGAAGCCCAAGCGGAAAGCCTGTCCAAGAGGTGCCATGCAGATTCCACGAGGGGTGTATTTCAGCCATTCGATATGGTTCGTCCTTGTTGCACGTTGGGGGTTCCGACCCAGCCTGCAGCTGCTTTGTTCGTTCTCGAACTCGCCGAAGCGATAAAAAAAAAAAAAAACTTCCCTCCTCTCCTCCACGCTCCCCTGCTCTGCCGCTTTTCCTCCTCCTTCTTCTCCCCCTCCTCCCTCCCTTGTGTTCCTCCTCTTCCGCTGGCGGAACTTTTTTTTTCTTTTTTTTCCTCCTCCCGCTTTCGGAGACAGAGTTTTTTCCTTTTTTTCCATGTGAAAACACAGTTTTTTATTTTTCCTTTTTTTCCTCTTTTTCGGTCTTTCCCCTGGGACGGCGGAGAAATTCGGAGGACCGAACGAGGCAGGGAAAAGAGGAACAAAAAGGACAAACAAGGAAAAACCTGTGTTTTCACAGGGAAAAAAAGGAAAAAAACTCTGCCTCCGAGGGCGGGAGGAGGAGAAAAAGGAAAAAACTTTCCGCCTGCGGAAGAGGAGGAAAGGGAGATGGACGGAGGAGGAGGAGAAGGAGGACGACGACGACGACGGGGAGGAGGAGGAGGAGGAGGACGACGAGGAGGAACAAGGAGAGACGGATTTTTCCTCTTTTTCCTCCTCCGGCCTTGGGGCGCGGGTTTTTTTGTTCTTTTTCCCTGTGAAAACACAGGTTTTTTCCTATTTTTCATTTTTTTCCTCTTTTCCCTGCCTCGTTCGGGCCCTCCAGATTTTTCCGCCGCCCCAGGGGAAAGACCGAAAAAGAGGAAAAAAAGGATAAATAGGGAAAAACCTGTGTTTTCACAGGGAAAAAAAGGAAAAAAACATTGCCTCCGAGGGCGGGAGGAGGAAAAAAAAGAAAAAAACGTTCCGCCTGCGGAAGAGGAGGAAAACGAGGGAAGGAGGAGGAAGCTGAAAGGAGAAGGAAGGAGGAGGAGGGAGAGGAGGAGGAAGCAACATGGGGATCTTGGGGGGGGTGCGACCATATATATATATATATATATATATATATATATATTTATATCATACTATATAATATTATATTACATTATGTTATATGATGATGTATTATATTATAATATATTATATGGTATTATATTGTATTAATCATATTGTATCAGAGTGTATTGTAGTATGTTATGTTATGTGAAGTTATGTGATTTTATATTATATCGTATTATATTATTAAGTTATATCATATTATACTATATAGCATCATATCCGATGAGATAATTTTGAAACACATTAAAATATATGAGATTCGATACTCCTATAATATATTTTACGATATTGCACTACATGGTGCTATATGCATTTGAATTATGCTTTGTTTTATCATCGTATAGTATAGTACATTGTAGTACAGTATAATATATGATATTCTATCTATTGTACCATGTAATTCTTTTATTACGTTATTTATATATTATGTTATACCATAACATATAATATGATACCACATCATATTATAGTATATGATGCCACATTGTATTATATAATATAATATTGTATTCTATTACATTCCATTACATGGTATAATATAATATTCTAACATTTTAGTTCTATTATATTATACGACAAATTCTATTACATTTTGTACTATATTATATTGTATTATATGCTAGTGTATAGCATTATGATATGGTATACTATGTTAAAGTAGAAAATGATATTACACTATATTATATTACATTACATCATATTATATCATATCAAATAATATTATATCATAGTGTATTAAACTATATTACAATGTACTGTATTGTAGTGTAGTGTGCTGTACTGTATCCAAGTATACTATATCACAGTACACTTTACTCTCGTATGTTATATTACATTACATCACATTTTATTACATATTATATATAATATATATATATATAATATATATATATATATATATATAATAATTCATATATACTTTAATACTATATATATATATATATATATATATATATTATGATTTACTGTAGTTTCCCCAAAGCATCGGATCTCAGGGGACGGCCCACGAGGGCTCCAAGATGGCCCCCAAAAAGGCCCATGAGAGGGACCACGAACCGAACATCTGACCCTTCCGCCCCGAGAGGCCCCTAGGAGGACCGAAGAAGCGTTCAAGAGGCCCCAAGAGGCCCCCAAGAGGCCCCCGAGAGGCCCCCGAGAGGCCCCAAGATGCCTCCAAGAAGCCCAAAAGACGCCCAAAGAGACCACAAAACAGCCTCCAAGTGGCCTTCAACCTGCCTCCAAGAGGCCCCCGAGAGGCTCCCCACGAGATCCCAACGAACATCCAATAGGCTGCATACCCACAACTCAGGCACGGTGTCGGGATGGGCCGAATGCCATTCGATCCGCCGCTCCCTGTTGATTTATCACAGGGGTGCCTGGCGTGCTAGATCCTACTGCTTCTGGTTTTTGTTCTTTTCCAAGAAAACTCCCCCTGGGGCTTCGGTCCATGCCGCTGGCTGCCTGCCTCGCCGTCTTTTTCGCTGAAGATGTCCCCAAGATGGCCTTCTGGACGGCCAAGATTGTCCGAAATGGCCTCGACGACTGCCCAAGAGGGTCCAAAACGCCTCCAAGACGGCCCGATATGGCCAAAGAGGCCCCCAGGAAGCCTCAAAGACGACCCAAGAGGCCTCCAAAAGGTCCTCCAGGAGGACCCGAAGAGGTCAAAATCATTGATTTCCTTTGGTTTTTGAAGGATTCTGTGGCATTTGCTTATATTAGGCCTTCCGACGGCCCAAGACGGACCAAGAGGTCCCCAAGATCGCCCCAAGATGGCCCCAAAGGCCTCGAACATGAACCAATGACGGACCAAGAAGTCTCCAAGACGGCCCCAAGAGGGCCCCAAGACGGCCCAAGAGGCCTTCAAGACGCTCAAGCTGGCCTCCAAGACGGCCCTGAAGCGCCCCAAGAGGGCCCTAAGTAGGTTCAGAGAGGCCCCCAAGACGTCTTCCGACAGCGTCAGACGGGCCAGGAATGCCCTAAGACGGCCAAAGAGGCCCCTAAGAAGCTCCCAAAAGGCCCCCCCGTGGCCCAAGGAGGCTTCGAAGAAGCCTCCGAGAGGCCCACAAGCAGCTCCCAGAAGGCCTCTAAAAGTCCTCCTCCTCCTCCTCCTCCTCAGCCTCCTCCGCCTCCTCTTCTTCCTCCTCATCCTCTCTATTTTTCCTCCGTCTCATCAGCTCCTTTTTTCTCACCGTGTGTTCCCCGAAGGGTTTCCACGGTGGTCCGATAGTCTGGCGGCCACATGGACGATTCCAAAAGGCAAGGGGCGGCGGTGACTCGCCGTAGGCGTTACCTTCAAGAAGAAGCCAGAACGAGGATAAAATTGGGTGATGTCAGATCGAGAACCTCTGAGATCCGGCGGCTCTGGAGGATGTCTCGGGCGCCGCGGCCTTCTCAGAGCGTTCCGGAGCGCTCCGAGAGCGTTCCGGGACGCGCTGGAACGGACTCATCCTCGACCTGGCTCCGTCCCGCAAAGCCAGCTTGCCTCTGGGCTCTTCTCGGACGGTCCCAGGGCCCGGCGAGGGTCCCCAGGGGGGCGGGAAGCTGCCAACAGACACACCTCCGCCTGGCGCTCCTCGCAGCGCCGGGGGCCTGGGAAGGCGGGGGTCCCAGCTGGTGCGCCAGGCGCGCCTCGCTGATCTTGGCGGGCAGCGGGCGCGTGTGGACCCACTGCGCCACCCTCTCCTTCCGGGGGGGACGCAGGGCGGGGGCACGAGTGGGGTTTTCGAGAGGGGAGCCGCCCCGAGTGGCCCCTGCAGAGGGAGCCGCGCGCATCCGGCGGGGGTCCTTCCCCAACCCCAACCTGGGATAACCTCCCCCCGCCCTGAGGTCCGACGTCTCGAACAGCATTGAGACATCGCGAAAAATCGCGGCTAGAGCCCTAGGCCCCATCTTCCTGCGCCACTTCGAGAGGATCCCGGGGCCCGGATCTGGGCAAAAACGCCCAGCTCGAAAAAATCGCGACGCCAGAATCTCAGGGCTCTACGAATCCCCGATCCTCGAGGGTCTTCAGCTCCGTGGTCAGCCTGGCCACGTCGCGCTGCCTCTCTCCGGCGGGCGGCCGGCGGGCAGCTAGGCTCGACCGCGGCGCGCCGGCAAGGAGCCCCGAGCCAAGCGGGAACGTGCCCGACCAGGAGGAGGGGCAGAAGGCGCACTCCTCTGCCTGTGGTGATGTGCCAATGGTGTGGGGCTTACCGCGCGGGGGCCCCAAGACAGTCCCTGAGAGCCTGGTGTCGCAATTTTAGCGGGCTGGTCGTTTTCGCCCAAATTCGGGCCCCGGGATTCTCACATATCGATCCGGCTCGAAAATTGTCGCAGGGGTCTAGGGCTCCAGTCGTGACCTTTCGCGATGTCTGATATTTTTTTCGAGACGTCGGATCTCAGGGGTTGTTACAGCCCTGTGGGGAAGGTTGTGTGCAGCAGCGGAGGCTGCTGTTGAGAGGGGACCTTCCCCAGCAGCGGGGTTTCAAGATTGCCTCGCCCTGGCCATCTAGGATTGCGCCCAGTGACGAAGCGGCGCGACGTACCAGATTGATTCGATTTTTCCTTTCAGCAGCTTATTCGATGAGAGATTGGGACAGTGAAGCAGGAGACACTGGAAAAGGGGGGACACCCTGAGATCCAGGCGTTGCAATTTCTGCACTGGGCATTTTCGCTTGGTTTGGGCCCCAAGGCAATCACATATCGATCCGGCTCGGAAGCTGGCGCACAAAAATGAGGTCCATAGTGCTCCGGCCTTGATCTTTCCCGATGCTGTGGTTGTTCGCAGCGCCGGGTTTTAGGGGATGGTGACGGCGGTGGGTGATGTGACACAGCCATGCGAAGTCCTGTGCAATGCGCAATCCCCGGAAGCCCTGACCCTTTCCCGGGGCCGGCTCTTCATCCTGACTCGCTTTTTGCTGGTCCCGGTGCCCGGCGGGGGCCCCCAGAGGACGAACACAGCGAAGAGCCTCCCGCCCTGACTCTTTCTCACGACGGGAGCATGCCTGGGGAGGCAGCGGCAGCGGCAAGCTCGCCAGAATGGCAGACAGTGGCGGGCTCCAGGGGAGGAGCCGCGGGGGTGAGAGATAGCACCCTGCGCGCTGACCCCCGAAGTGGAGCCGCGGGCGCACACCGGACCGAGACACTCCAGGGCTTCGGAGCCCGACCGGGATACTTCGGGTTCCAGGCCGAGCGCTCGCCCCTCGCGTTGTGTGGTCCGTCCATGGCCGTCCACCGCTGCAGCGCGGGTCCCTGGCGCTCTGAGGGCCTCCTCCTCCTCCATTATTCCATTCCTCCTCCATTCCTCCTCCTCCTCCTCCTCCTCCTCCTCCTCCTCCTCCTCCTCCTCCATTCCTCTTCCTCCTCCATCCCTCCTCCTCCTCCTCCTCCTCCTCCTCCTCCTCCTCCTCCTCCTCCTCCTCCTCTCCGAAACCTTTGTGGCGCTGGCAACTATTCGAAGCCGTTGCGTCTCGGCTACTGGGGGTCATCGCCTGAAAGGCGCGGGCGGCATCCGAGGCCCCGGACTCGTGCAACCCCATGGCGTACCCAGAGCGCTGGCCTGACAGGCTTCCCGCGGGTTGAATCAAGCCCTCCAGGCCACCACGACTGTCAACCCCCGGGGCCTCCACTGAAATCTCAGTGTGGGGCACGGAACTGACCGTACTTCGTCATGAGCGGTCGCGGATTGCAGTTGCAGCAAGAATTCCAGCTCGAAATGGCGGTCACAGCAGCGGCAAGCGCAGCATCGTCAACGGTGCACTTGCTGGCGATTCCTGCTCCTGCTCGGGAGTCTCCTCCTGGCCCTGCTGATACTGTTCCTGGCGCTCCCATTTCTGGTGCTGCTCCAACTACTGGCCCTCCGACAGCCTCAGCGTGTCAAGCTCCCGCTCCGTGTTCTGAAGCCCCCCGCGGATCAGCGCAATCTGCTCGTGGAGGCCCTGGCCAGCAGTGCGCGGACATACCTTGTCTTCGAATCGCAATCATAGCGTCGCTTCCGCATGTCCTCTCCTAACGCTTCCCTTATTCTCCCTCTCCCTCTCTCTTCCCCTCTTTTTTGTTTTTTTGTTTTTTTTTGTTCTCTTTCTCTCTCTCCTTCATCTTCCGCTCTCTCTCATCCGCCCCTCCTTGCACCTCCCTCTCTCTCTGCCTCCCTCGCTTTGTCTCCTTCCCTTTTTAAGCACTCCATCTGAATACTACTCTCCTCTCTCCCCTGAAGATGTCCGGAACATCTCCTGCTCCCCTCCGCGTCCTGTGTTTTTCCACGCAGGATTGGGCCGAGCAATTTGTGTTTCTGAGCTCCGACTGTTTTCGGTGCTTCAAGACTGGCTCTCCCGCTGCAGCGTGGGCCTCGCTTTCGGATTGGCACTGTGCTTCCGTCGTTCAGAATGGCGCTCTCGCCCCAGCGCGGGCCGCTTCTCGAGGTCCCGCAGGCCTCGCAAGTCCCACAAGTCTCGCAGGTCTCGCAGACCCTACAGGTCGTCGTCCCAAAAGCTCCACAGGTCTGACGACAGGCACCGCAAGCCCCACATGTCCCACAGAAAAGTTTCCACGGGGACTCTGGCGCACAACCCGGGTACGGCAGGTTCGTGTCGTGCCGACCCCAGCGTTGGTTTTTGACACCGCAGGGATCGTTCAACCTTGAACGATCGGCCGCTGCCGCAACGTCCGATCGTTCAACATCGATCGATTCTGGGTCGCCGGCGGCGTTCAACCTTGAACGCCCGCGTTGGGGTCGCCGCTGGTCGACACGACGCGAACCTACCGTACGTCGCGAAACTCAGCTGGAGCTCTCTTGAGCCATCTTGGCGCCCTCTGGGGCAGCCTATCGGCTCGCTTCGACAGGGTGCGAGCCGCATCTCCGAAAGTCTTCTCGAGGACAGTCCTCTGCCTGCCCCACCGCTCCCTATGGGCACAAACACACCACCATGCGGCCACCGTGATGCGCAATGGGCTGGCGGAATGAACGAAACGATTGTACAACACTCAGGGCCGCAAGGTTTGGCTCACTGTCAGGCTCCGTCCTCGACCTCACATGCTCTTGCTCTCCGTCTTGACATTTTGGTGTTGGCTTGGGTCACAACGATTTCGACACCGCGAGCGACTGCCACGTGATGAGAGAAAGGGGCGCATCACCAGGAGGACTATCGATCCTACTGCCTGGCCCTCCCTTCGGACGGCCACCGTTGGGATCTTATCACCCGTTGCGTCTTGCGCAGGATGCCGCCCCCCTCTCGATTCAATGCGCGAGAACCGTCCAACACCCCAAAGCATGCTCACAACGTCCTGCGGGGCGCGATTACATCGAAATCGGTTTCCTATTCGATCTCTCTCTCTCTCTCGCTCTCTTGCTCTCTTTTTTTTTTTTTTTTTTTTTTTTTTTTTTTTTTTTTTTTTTTTTTTTTTTTTTTTTTTTTTTTTTTCTCTCTCTCTCTCTCTCTCTCCTCCGCCTGTCACCTTCCCTCGCTCGCCATGTCGCTGTGTGTGTGTTTCCTTACCTACATGCATACGTACAGAAATGCATACATACATACGTACACCATACATCCACCATACATCCATACATCCGTGTATCCATACATCCATGCATGTATGCATGCATACATACATACGTGCACACACATACCTACGTACATACATACGTACATGCATACATACATACACAACGTACATGCGTACAGACGTATGTGTACATACAATTCCGCCGACCCAGTCGGCGTGTGCGTGATAGGCCCCCAGACAGAGCCACATAGGCTCCCCAGAGAGCCCAGAGAGCCCCAAGAAGGGTTCCAGAACGTCAGTGTCGTCGTCGTCGCCGCCGCCGCCGTCGTCGTCGTCGTCGTCGTCGTCGTCGCTACCCTTCAAGGTCGGCGGCACCGGCCGTAAGGCGTGTCCAATGCCACACGTAGTCGGAACTCTTCCATATAAATCGGTGCATCTGTGTTTCGCCTCACGCGGCTCCGTGGATTCAATCCACCACTTCGCGCCCGATTCCATGAGCGTGTCATGCCGAGAGAGTGAAGCTGGATGAGTAAGCTGAGTGGAGACAAATGGCTAAGCCCAACACGGATGTTGCTAGCACACATAAGCCATACACGTGGCGCACTGAGCTCAAAGCACCAACCAGCGTGTCACCTCAAATCACAAAACCAGGCAGCACAAAACCATACTTGTGACACGCGTGGATCACGTGGGGCATACCCGAAACGAACATCAATGGTACGGCCTGGCAAAAAGCGCGAAGCAGAGACGAATGCCCCCCCCCCCCCCCGGATCTCTCTTCCCGATTCCCGTCGGGGCCGTCCTTGATGCCGTGGCGCACCTGCAGCGGCGCGGCGATGCGCGCTCGCTCACGCACGCAAAGAGGGGCACGTGTTTTTGGGTGTGGCGGGCATTTCTTGTTTTTTTGTTGGGTTGGGGGTGGGGGGGGTGGGGCGTGTATGTATGAAACAGAAGAGGGTCGAGCGCTGTGAGAGGTGCGATCGCATCTCGGCGGCAGCGGGCTGTCATGAACGCAATGTGTGCGAAGCTCTGTCGAAAGCAACGCGCTCTCAAACAAGTTCCCTGGGCGCTGCTCTGCCTCGCTGGGCCATCTCCGCCCGCGCGGCCACCGTTCCTTCCACGCCCCCCGCGCGGGGCGTGCATCCGCGAGCCTGGTCGGCAACAGCAGGCGCCCGCCCAGAAGCAGAAGGAGGAGGTAAGTTCAGGTGCCTGCAGGGTGTGCGTAAGGAGGTTGAAGAAGGAGGAGGCGGAGGAGGAGACGGAGGAGGAGGAGGAGGAGGAGGAGGGGGACGAGGACGGAGCAGGTGAGAGGATAAACCAGGAGGTGGCGGAGGAGGAGAGAACGAAGTGGAGTGAGGAGAAGGAGAAAGATGGAGGACTGGGAGGATGAAGATGCGGAGGAGGAGGAAGAAATGGAGGAGGAGGAACATGAGTAGACAGGAAAAGGCGGATATGCATGAATAGTATATATATATATGATCGGACGACGAGTGGAACAAAGATCCTGGTAAGGAACAAGGGGCGAACAAGGGACAGGAGGAGGGAACGGAGACGGAACATACACACATAACCGCAAGCATGGAAAGGTCCTGCCTGCCACCCACGGATGAGATCTACGTGGTGTCCACAACGTCGTCGACGAGCACGGCAATAGCGACCTCGCCAATACGCTAATGACACTCGATGGGGCACCACGCTCCCGCCAGGCCTCGCAAGGCCGTGGTGGAGGAAACCTACATCGGCACCATCCTCAAGTCTTCTTTCTAAGAGCTGGCATTCGACCAATAATCCTGAATCGTGATACACTTTCTACTATCGCGGGCCGCTAAAGCTCTCAACCAACTGAGTATGCAATGCTGCGCGCTGCAGAATTTCAACGTTGAAGAGCATACGTCCAACATTCCGACTGCAGTGAGTTGTGATAAAGACGGACGCGCCCAACCTGGTAGTCAGGGGTCCAGGCGCGAACATCACCAAACTTGCTCTCAGGAGCTGAAGTCACCACGTGCCAAACGCGGGGAGGCAGACGGCGAACGGAACAGAACAGACGCGAAGATGCCGATCACACCTCCTGCCGCCGCAGCGCTGGTGGGGCACCACGCGGCCGAAGAAGAGACCAGGAGATGTGGACTATTGACCCTTGGGCACCTGTCAGGCAAGGTCGAACAAGAGGAGGGCGGGCGTGAGGGAGACAGCGGAGGGGAGACACGCAGGAGGCCGAACACAGTTCTAAATCGGCGGCGCAGGGGGTCCTCAGGCGCGAGCAGCAGGTGAAGTGCTAATTGCGATCGAACGTTGTCGAAGGCACCGTGTACAAGCCGTTGCACACTGTCAAGTGCAGCCATGGGTGGTGTGAAACAAAGGAACAGTACATCCAAGCGAAACGTGCAGCGGCCAGACAACCGAGGAGGCAACTCAACACGAAGTCAATTAAAGCGCAGGTAGCCTGATGCGAGTTGGCGGCCACTGGAACACCAAAGAGCGGTGTCAGACAATGAAGCGCAAAACAACTGGCAAGGCTACCAGACCAACCGATGTGGAATGAAACGCTGACCCCACACGGCGACCAGCACTGTAATTGAAGCGTGACAGCCAGGCGCCACATTAGGCCACTGCATCACCGGAGCGGTGTAGATAATGAAACAAGGAGAGATGCTGCTATTCAGAGTGGTGGTGCCCGACCTAGCAGCCATGCGATCATCTTGGTACGGTGTGGACCTGCAGGCCAGAAGGCAAACCAAATGCACACGCAAACTTTTTAGCGATCGCGGCCTGGCGCGCAGCGTCAAGGCGGAGAAAGGTCAGGTCTGGTGCGCGCGCGGCCAAGCCCTCAAAAGAATCTCCGCACATTTCGTGTGCGCCATCAACGCACAGCATCCGGGTATGTATGGCGGGGAGGCGACACGCTGACCTGGCGCTGGGCCGAACACACACGGACACGCCGTCTGGAACATATCTGCCCTTGCCGACTGGCAGGCAGACTGTGCTGCCTGAGCTTCGAGAGCGCTAGGACGCGCACCCTCCACCCCCCAGAGACATGGCAACGACTACGCGTACTTATGCTGCGCGCCACACCCCAGGATCTAAATCTGTCGCTGGCCGTCGTTTTCGGAGCCACATCTGACGCGCTGCGGCGCTACCTATTACACTTGGAGCCGCGCGGGCTAGACACCTCCACGCGTAGTGGAAGCCAACTTGTGTCAGCATGGGAACTTCTGAACACTTTGCAGTCCATGGCTCAACATTGAGGGGCCCAGCTCCTCCTCGTGTTTCGGATTGCGGGCCCGTTTTGCTTTCACGCGCGCTTCAGGAACATACATCCTCCCAATGAGGAGGATGGTGATGGAATTAATTGCGCAACCATTGACGCAAACGCGGCGACCCCACATGGCATCCACTTCCGACCGACAGCACCGTGATCATCCCTCCTCGACTCTATAGGGATCAGCCTAATCCTGCGGCCTTTCCCACCCATTCCCTCTTGTTCAGCTAGAAAACCAGTCTCCGCCAGAACTTGGGCGCGCCTGACTGCTTCGAATACATACCCAGGCGACTCAAGGAGGAAACTGAAGGTTACTCCAGACTTCGTAATAAAGGGAGGGGGGTCTCATTTCGGGGGGGGTCTCTTCCAAGCTATCTTGGAGGGCCTGGGGGGGTCTGGGGACGATGTTTTGGAGGGTTCTCCCACGGGGGGGGGGGTCTGAAACGGCTTGTCTTGGAGGGTCCAGACCCCCTCCCTTGTATTACGAAATCTGGAGTAACCAACGAAGCCCACGGGGTCCGTGCTGCAAGCAAGCGCTCGGCCCACGAAGGGGCCGAACGTGGCGCAACGCGACAAGGCCAAGCGCTCCGCCCCCCGCGGTTGTCGAATGCCCGCTCTCCGCAGCCGCAGCGGCGGCGCCGTGTCCCCCCCCCACACCGAAGGGGACTTGGAACGTGCGGCTCTCCAGAGCGTGCAACTCTCCACCCGCTGGCGGCCGCGTCCAGGAGGAGGAGGGGGAGGAGGAGGAGGAGGAGGAGGAGGAGGAGGAGGAGGAGGAGGAGGAGGAGGAGGAGGACGATGATGAGCAGCGGGAAGACGAGGAGCAGGAGGAGGAGGAGGAGGAGGAGGAGGAGGAGGAGGAGGAGGAGGAGGAGGAGGAGGATGGGGGAGCAGGAAGAGGAGGAGAAAGAGGAGGAGGGAGGAGGGAGGGAGGAGGAGGAGGAGGAGGAGGAGGAGGAGGAGGAGGAGGAGGAGGATGGAAGAAAAGGAGGAGGCGGATGAGGAACATCAGGAGCAGGAGGAGGAGGAGCAGCGTAAAGCCAAGAGGCATCAACGATGTTGGAATAAACCCTCCCTCCAAGCTCCCTCTTCATAAGCCCCTACAACGGTTCATTGTTACTGAGGGAATTGCCTCGTTGGAAGACAACCGTTTGAAGACCCTGAAGCATGCCAAAACAGTATTCTTGATATTCCAGCGCCACAGACGAAACTGACTGTTGCGTCTTGGCGATCCTGGATCGTGCCAGATCGCCATTCCTGGGACTTGAACACCACGAATCAACACAACTTGTGCACCTCCTAAGCCTGAATCCTTTCCAAAACACCATTTCTGGTACGTTGATCATGGGAGTCCGTGGAGCTCTTGCAATCTTTTAAAGCGAATGTGCGCAACGCTAAAGCGATAGCCACATTTTGAAAAACAGCCGCCCTCACTCCGCGAAGCTCTTGCACATGTGTAAGAAGAGTGTGCGCGGCGCTAAAGCGAGAGCCACATTTTGAAAACGACTCGCCCTCAACATGTGAAACTCTTGCGAATATTTGAAATGAATGTGCGCGGCGCTAAAGCGAGAGCCACATTTCGAACGCGACTCGCCCTCAATATGTGAAACTCTTGATTTTTGTAGAACGAATGTGCGCGGCGCTGAGGCGAGAGCCACATTTTGAAAAACACCCGCCTCCTTTTTTTGAAACGGTTGTATTCTTTTAGCTTCAGAATCACGAATGGTGAGGAAGTCTCAGGCGAAACGCCCGACCCGCCCTAAAACATGGTCTCGGGATGCGACAGGGAGAAGTTATGTATAAGGAGAAGGAATTGACGATGAGGATGAAGAGGAAGAGGAGGAGCAGCACGAGGAGGAGGAGGAGGAGGAGGAGGAGGAGGAGGAGGAGGAGCAGGAGGAGGAGGAGGAGGAGGAGGAGGAGGAGTCGAGGAGGAGGAGGAGGAGGAGGTCGAGGAGGAGGAGGAGGAGGAGGAAGAGGAGGAGGAGGAGGAGGAGGAGGTGGAGGAGGAGGAGGAGGAGGAGGAGGACCAGGAGGCGGAGGAGGAGCAGCAGCCAGCGGGCCTGCTCCGCCAGCTCCTCGCCCTGCTGCTGGGCCAGATCGCTCTGCTGCAGCTGCGCCTTCGCCAGGTCGGCCAGCTCGTGGGCCAGCTGGCGGCGCGTGCGGCTCTCCGGAGGGCGCGCGGGTGGCGCCGCAGCGGCAGCGGGCCGGGTGGGCTCCACCGCGAGCGAGGGGACGTTACCTAACAGCTCTTGCTGATAGGTTTCTAGTGGTCTCAAAAGAGAGCATCATGACTCCTCAGGGGGGTCTGGGCGGGACCCGGAACGGCTGCCGCCGAAGCCGAAATCGCTTGGGACATCCTCGCAAAATCGCTCTTGGTGCTCCCAGAACTCCATTCCCGGGCCACATTTTGGATGCCCGGAGCCAACTGTAGGCCACTTCGTGCTCTTCGACTTCCCAGAACTCCATTCCCGGGCCACATTTTGGATGCCCGGAGCCAACTGTAGGCCACTTCGTGCTCTTCGATTTCCCAGAACTCCATTCCCGGGCCACATTTTGGATGCCCGGAGCCAACTGTAGGCCACTTCGTGCTCTTCGAGTTCCCAGAACTCCATTCCTGGGCATGATTTTGAATGCCCGGAGCCAACTGTAGGCCACTTCGTGTTCTTCTAGTTCCCAGAACTCCATTCCTGGGCCACATTTTGAATGCTGAGGCAGGCTGATGCTGCGGCCGAGGCAGGCTGAGGCTGAGGCAGGCTGAGGCTGAGGCCGAGGCTGAAGGCAGACTGAGGCTGAGGCTGAAGCAGACTGAGGCTGAGGCTGAGGCAGGCTGAGGCTGAGGCTGAGGCAGGCTGATGCTGAGGCAGGCTGAGGCTGAGGCTGAGGCTGATGCAGGCTGAGGCTGAGGCAGGCTGAGGCTGAGGCCGAGGCTGAAGGCAGACTGAGGCTGAGGCTGAAGCAGGCTGAGGCTGAGGCTGAGGCAGGCTGAGGCTGAGGCAGGCTGAGGCTGAGGCAGGCTGAGGCTGAGGCTGTGACTGCGACTGCCGTTGCCGCTGCGACTGTCATCGCGAATGCGACTACGACTGCGAGAACAGCAGAATACTACAACTGGATTTTCATCTGAATCTTAAGGGGAATGCTTTCAGATATGCTTCTACACATCGCTGTTAGGTTGCTTTACCGGGATAAGTTGGTTAAAAATTTGTATTATTAGTATAGATATTATATATGTATGCGTTTTGTTTTTTGATTGTGAAAAATATAAGACCATACTTATTAGCATTATTACTACTATTATTATTGTTACTATTATTATTATTATCATGATTATCAGTATCATTACCATTATCATTATTATTGTTATTATTATTATTATTATCATTATCCTTATTATTATTATTATTATTATTATGATTAGCATTATTATCATGATTATTAGTAGTATCATTATCAATGTTATTCTTATTCTTATTATAATATTAATAATTATTATTATCATTATTATTATTACTATTATTATTATTCTTATCATTCTTGTTATATGTGTATATGTATCATATTGTTGTAGGTGCGTGTTGTGCGAACACTATGAGGCTCGCTCTCGACCCGCAGATCAAAACAGTTGTGCGAACACCATCTTTCAGTGGAGTGGCTGCAGGAGACCCAGTCCCGCGCGCAAGACGATCCGGGACAAGCTCGACGAGCTGCTCAAGGGGGAAGGAGGCGAGGAGCGCGCCGAAGGCGAGGGAGGCAGCGGGGCCAAGGCGGCGCACAGGCGGCAGCGGCCGAGGGCACGAGCACAGGCAATCCTGAGCTGGACCGAGTCGGGAGATCCGATCGGATCGAAAACGGATCGGATCGCCCGCGACTCGGATCGAGATCGGATCGCCGCGCCGGGCTCCGTCTGGCCCCAGCCGATGCCTGTGAGCCGAACCGGATCCTGGGCGCTGCTTCGTGGGGGGCGGTGAAGGGGAGGCGACGAGACGCACACCTGGTGTGCCCCTCTCGGGGTGCACCACATGCACAGTTCGTCCACCGCCCACTCATCGCCCGCCACTTCGCAGTGCCCGAGAATCGGAATCGCGGCCCCAACCAGCGAATCGAGCAGCATCGGATCGGATGGTGGGCGGCCCAGTCAGCGTCCCAGGGCACGCGGCGTGGGCGGGGCAGGAGGACGAGATCGCTCGGCCACCAGATCGGCAAGCTGCTGCCCGCCCGCCCCCGTTCTTGCCCGCGGATCGTCGTCGTCGTCGTCGTCGTCGGCGGCGGCGGCGGCGGCGGCGGCGTCGGCGTCGACGTCGGCGTCGGCGTCGGCGTCGGCGTCGGCGTCGGCGTCGGCGTCGGCGTCGGCGTCGGCGTTGGCGTCGGCGGCGGCGGCGTCGTCGTCGTCGTCGTCGTCGTCGTCGCCGCCGCCGCCGCCGCCGCCGCCGCCGCCGCCGCCGTCGTCGTCGTCGTCGTCGTCGTCGTCGTCGTCGTCGTCGTCGTCGTCGTCGTCGTCGTCGTCGTCGTCGTCGTCGTCGTCGTCGTCGTCGTCGTCGTCGTCGTCTCTCTCTCTCGCTCTCTCTTTTTTTTTTTTTTTTTTTTTTTTCTCTCTATCCCTCTCTTTCTCTCTCTCTTTCTCTTTCTCTTTCTCTTTCTCTCTCTCTCTCTCTCTTTCTCTCTCTCCAAACACTCGATGTCCAGATTTCTTGCGTACTCGGTCCTCGGACGCCCCAGCCGTTTTCCCAAGACAGGCTTTTCATCGCATCGCATCGCCGGCGGCACGAGAGCTTTCTGAGGTATCACGGGGCGCCTTCACGCCTCGTGGCAAGCATCTGGACGCCTGCAGTTGGAAGCTGTGGCCGAAAGAATTGATTTCATCATGGTGAAACCCAGGAGTTTACGCTAAGGCCGAGGGGGCTCTGCAGCAGCACAGGCTTTTCATCCTGAGTCGTTTTTGGACGGTCCTGCGGCCAGGTGAGGGCCCCCGGAAGCCAACCAGGACGACCCCCCCCGTCGTTTTTTGTTTGTTTGTTGTTTTTGTCTTTTGGTGTCTTCTTATTTCTCCAAGACGCGAGCATGTCTGGGTCTCTCTCTCTCTCGCTCTCTCTCGCACCCCTCCACCCCCGCTACCCTTTGCATCATCCAGCACGCCCTTCCTGGGAGCCTCGGCCACGATATCCCCCCGAGTCATCACCGAGGAAGACAATTATCGTGTTGGGAAGAAGTGGTTGGGAAGATACAGGGTACGACCGTGTAGTACACACCCTCAACATTTGCGATGATCCTGATGGATCGCTGCGCCGTTTGCTGTCGACGCGCCCAAGTGGACGACGCTGGCCACACCGCAAATCCACGGCAAACCCACGGCCCCGCGCCCCAAGTAGACGACGCTGGCACCGCGGCAAACCCACGGCAAACCCACCGCGCCCGAAGTGGCGCTTGCCCTGGTGGCCGAAGCGCCCTCCCCAAGACGGAAGGCCGCGCGTCGGAACAAACGGCGCGCCGACACACTTTTTTGGTCTGCGGGGCGAGAGCGAACCTCTTCCGCTACAAGTTAGGCGGCGCGCCGACACACGCGATAACACGGATGACCTGATTATTCCTCCCAGCCCCATCTTCTGAATCGACCACGGTGTTTCTGAATCGCCCCAAAGTCTAGGGCCACCCCCCCCTGGCCGCCCCAGGCTTTTCCCCCCGCCCGGCCTCCGCGAACCCGTCCTTCGCCAGCGTAGCCGCGCGTGGCAACTTCTGCTTCTCCTCCAACAGAAGGACAGCCTCGCGATGGTGATGCTCAGCTCCTTGAAGCGCTTCTCGACGGCGCACGGCCGACGGGAGCCGCGCCTCCACGTCGCTCTGCGCGATGCGCTCTGCGCGGGACTGGACCTCAACCTCCTTGGCCAGCGCAGTGCGCCGAGCCGCAACCTTCTTCTCCATCTCATTCTCTGTAACAGGCTCTGGAGTGGGCTCAGGCTGAGCCACGGGCGCGGCCGCTGCAGCAACGCCCAACCCCTCCAAGACACCTGCCACATGCGGGAGCTTCTCGGCCAACTGCTCGAGCTCGCTCGCGAAGGCGACGCCGAGAGCAGCGGGCTCAGCTTGATCATCCACGTAGTTGGACCCGCGCTTGCTGCAACGCCAGTTGCCGTAATTGTCGAACTCCCAATGCCCGCGCGAGCCGCACGCTGAGTAGGCGCCCTTTTGGTCGGACCGCCAACCAACTCCGTAGCCACGCTTGCGACCACCACACCTTTGGTGCCAGGGGGCGCGGAATCGCCACGACATGAAAGCCTGCTCTCGGGGGCCCAACTGCCGAAGTGAAGGCCAGACACTGAGGCGGGGGCCCAACGCCCGCAATAAAGGCCAGGAGACACAATGGCGGGGGCCCAGCTCCCGCAGTAAAGGCAAATCAATGCCAGGCTGAACAGCCTTGCCTGCCGCGGACTAGCGGTATCCACTCCATGGCAGGGCCAAACAAGCATCTTGAGCCAAAGTGGCTACGGAAGAGGAGGAAGAAGAGGAGGAGGAGGAGTGGGAGTCAAGCTAGCCAGCTCGAGCGAATCAATGATGGCATGCCCATTCCCACCCACCCTCCCACAACATAAGAAGCAGTGCTGGCGCAACTGGGGACCGAAATCAAATCGGCTAGGTGGTTTGCCACAGCTGATGCAACCGCGATGGCGGTTACCGATGAGAACCCCCTGGCGCGTCTCAAAGACTACGCTGGCATTTTAGCACGAGCCGAAGAGGCCCCAGGAAACCTCCTGAGGCCCCAGGAGGCCTCAGGAGAAGCCCCAGCGACCACCTGGAAGCCCCAGGAGGCCTCAGGAGGGCCCAGGAAGCCCCAGATAATTCCAGGAGGCTTCAAGCCACCCTAGGACATGTCAGGAAGCCCCCGGGGAATCCCAGGAAACCCCAGGATGCCTCAGGAGGCTCCAGGAGGATCCACGAGGCCCTGGGGAAGCCCCGGGAAGCCCCAGGATGTCCCAGGAGACCCTGGGAGGCCCCAGGGGGCCCTAGGCGCTCGACGAACTGGCGAGCGAAAAAGGTGCGCCGCGCCTTAGCGGGAACGCAACTTTCAGAAAACATGCGTGCGGCGCCGAAGCGAGAGCGACATTTCGCCCTGTCGCGCGCGATGTGCACCGCGCCCCCTTCTTGCCACGCATTTCGCAAAGCCGACGACAAGAAAATGCCCACTGAGAAACACAATGTCGACTCTGTATGGTTTTGACAAGTAGGATGACCCCTCCCGCTTGGGGTTGCCCCAGACGTCTGCGCGCGATGTGCACCGCGTCCCATTCCTGCTGCGCATTTCGCATCGTCGACGACAAGAAAGGCCATGTTGAGAGAAACAACGACGACTTCGTATTGATTTTTTACAGTTAGGAAGGGAAGGCCCGGATTGACGGCCGCGCGCGATGTGCGCCGCGTCCTATTTCAGCTGCGCATTTCGCACCGTCGACGACAAGAAAGGCATTTTTTGTTTTTTATATGAAAGTAGGATGGGAGGGCCTGGATGGAACCCCTATCGGCCGGCCAGAAGGGGGTAAGAGTATTTTCTAATGAGGAACAAGGATCGGAGGAGGAGGAGGAGGAGGAGGAGGAGGAGGAGGAGGAGGAGGAGGAGGAGGAGGAGGAGGAGGAGGAGGAATAATATTTTTCCCCAATCAGAGCTTGCCTCTGTAGGGGTCCTAGCGGATTCATATGGTTAGGTTAGGTTTGCCGCCGAATTTCGCCGCACGCCCGGGTGCCCGGAAGCCCGGGGGTGCCCAAGTGCCCGGGGGGTGCCCGGGGGTGCCAGGGTGCCCGGGTGCCCGGGCGTGCCCGGGGGTGCCCTATAGCCCTATAGCCCAATAGCCCAAGAGTCCTACAACTTTATAGCCATATAGCTCTATAGCCCTGATTGGGGTTTTTCTCCGGTATCATCTAATGAGGAATAAGGATAGGAGGAGGAGGAGGAGGAGGAGGAGGAGGAGGAGGAGGAGGAGGAGGAGGAGGGGAGGAGGAGGAGGAGGAGGAGGAGGAGGAGGAGGAGGAGGAGGAGGAGGAGGAGGAGGAGGAGGAGGAGGAGGAGGAGGGGAGGAGGGGGAGGAGAAGGAGGAAGGAGGAGGAGGAGGGGAGGCGAAGGAGGAGGGAGAGGAGGAGGAGGAGGAGGAGAAGGAGGAGGAGGAGGAGGAGGAGGAGGAGGGGGAGGAGGAGGAGGGAGAGGAGGAGGAGGAGGAGGGGGAGGAGGAGGAGGAGGAGGCGAAAGAGGAAGAGGAGGAGGAGGAGGAGGAGGAGAAGGAAGAGGAGAAGAAGAAGGAGGAGGAGGAGGGGGGGCTTCAAAAGGGAGCCAACAGCTGGGGGCACCCTGGGCGGCCCGGCACAGATCCGTTTACGCCCCCAGGTCCCATGCCTCCGACGTCGTCAAAGCGGTTCACCACGAAGCGGTTCCCCATAGATCTGGACCCCTTCCTGGGGACCAGCTCTGCATTCCGAGCTGCTTTTTGACGGTCCCAAGGCCTGGCGGGGGCCCCTGGAGGTCGAAAACGACCAAACCTCTCAATCGAGATTTTTTCTCGACGCGGAGACGGTTCGTTCTCGGGTCAGAACTCGGGCGGGTCTGCGGCGGTCGTTCGGAAGGATCTGGGCACCGCCAGAACGCCCTCGGCAAGGCGCAACGGCAAGAATGCACACCGAGGCCGGAAAAACCCTCAAGGACCGACGAACACGTCTGAAAATCGAACAGAAATTCAAGCAAATAATGAGCCTGGCGAAGGACCCAACCATATGCAGATGTGAATAACGTAGTTTTGAGTACCTCTTCGGTGGAGCTTTTTGTGGGGCCACGAAACGTGTGAGGCGTGTGCCGACACGGATGGCGGGGACGCATTTGGGCACCGCCAATGGGGCCTTCGGTGGAGCTCCCTGTGGGACCACGAAACGTGCGAAGGGTGTGCCGAAATCGGTTGCAGGGACGCATGTCGGCACCGCGATTGGGGCTTTGCGGAAACGGGTGGCGGGGACGCATGTGGGGTGTGCCGACATGGGTGGCGGGGCCGCATGTGGGCACCGCCACTGGAGCCATCGGTGGAGCTCCCAAAGTGGCCACGAAACGTGTGACTGATGTGCCAAAATCAGTGGCGGGGGCGCATGTGAGCACTGCCACTGCGGCCTTCGGTGGAGCTTCCTATGGGGCCTTGAAACGTGTGAGGGGTGCTCCGAAATGGGTGGCGGGAACGCATGTGGGCACCGACATTGGGGCCTTCGGTGGAGCTCCCTATGGGGCCACGAAGAAAGCGAGGAAGTGCCGAAATGGGTGGCGGCGACGCATGGGGCACCGTCACTGGGGCCTTCGGTGGAGCTCCCTATGGGGCCACGAAGCGTGTGAGGCGTGTGCCGACATGGGTGGCGGGACGCATTTGGGCACCGCCAATGGGGCCTTCGGTGGAGCTCCGTATGGGACCACGAAACATTTGAGGGGTGTGCCGAAATGTTATGGGCATGAGGAGAGCAGAGGCAGGGATGGGAGGAGGGAGGAGGGGGAGGAGGAGAGGAGGGGAGGAGGGAAGGAAGGAAGGAAGGAACGTGGGGCGCTTTCTCTTCGAAGCGAGGACCCAACACCGCAGGATGGTTGGAAAGTATACTGGCAAAGGCGACGGCCCTCGAGATGACCTCGCCCGGGAAGCGCTCCACGACGAATGGAGCCTGTAAAAGAGTGTGGTTGGCCTTCCGTCTGATGACAGTAGCCCGTTCCAAGAGACATGCGGAGCCCCGGCGGTTCCACAAATTCCATGCATCAGGCCTTGTACCTCACGACGATCTCGACACTGCCGCCCAGGGCCCCCGAGCTCCCGACTCCTTCCCCGTGGTAGTTTCGCGCCCCGGAGCCATTTCTGAAGCCCCTGGGGCCCGATCATGGGGCCCCATGGGGCGAAATCCAGGCAAAGCCGCCGACCAGGGCCCCCGAGCTCCCGACTCCTTCCCTGTGATAGCTTTGCGCCCCGGAGCCGTTTCTGAGGCCCCTGGGGCCCGATAGCGGGCCCCATGGGGCGAAAGCCAGGAAGAGCCGCCGCCCAGGGACCCCGAGCTCCCGACCCCTTCCCCCTGGTAGCTTTGCGCCCCGGAGCCCTTTCTGAGGCTCCGGGGGGCCCGATGATGGGCCCCACGGGTCGACATCGAGGATCGAGGAGGCGGGGATCGAGAGGCAGGATCCAGGAGGGGATCGAGGATCGAGAGGTAGGATCGAGGAGGGGATCGAGGATCGAGGAGGGGATCGAGGTAGGATTGTGGATCGAGGAGGGGATCGAGGATCGAGGATCGAGGGCCCACACTCTCGACGACGGCGCTGCTCACGCAGGGCGAGGGCGGGGGGGGGCTCGAGGCTCCTTGGCCCCTCTGGGGGCCCAGGCCTGGCCGACGTCGGCGCGCTCCCCCAAAGCGCCGACCACGGCCCCCTCTCAATTTTGTTAAAGTCGGCTGAAGTTCCGGCCTGCGCACCATGATACTGGTGCTGCTGATGATGCTGATGCTGCTGCTGATGCTGCTGCTGCTGCTGATGCTGCTGCTGCTGCTGCTGAAGACAATTCTGCTGCTGATGCTGCTGATGATGATGACCCTGAGAGGCGCTCCCTGGCTTAGCCTTCTTGGGCCAAGCCGCTGCCGCAACACGCCGCTGCAACTCCCACTCTGCACCTGGCCCCAGGAGGCAGAGATCGGGGACAAGCCGCCGGTGGACAGCTCATGCTGCCGGAGATCTGGGATTAGGTCGGGCATGTCCCCCTACAGGCAGATTTTGGAAGACCAGCTCAAAATAGTCACAACATACTCCAAAACAGTCGAAGAGAGTCGGAAAATAAACGTCTCCAAACTACCGTTCTGACTATTTTTGAATGTTCCTCCTGCAGAGGGACACGCCCGACTTAAGTCTGGGATCCTCGAGCGCTGGACGCCAGGAGAGAAGAGAGGAGAGAGGAGAGAGGAGAGAAGAGAGGAGGAGGATAACGAGGAGGAGGAGGAGGAGGAGGAGGAGGAGGAGGAGGAGGAGGAGGAGGAGGAGGAGGAGGAGGAGGAGGAGGAGGAGGAGGAGGAGGAGGAGGAGGAGGGAGGAGGAGGAGGAGGGGAGGAGGAGGAGGAGGAGGAGGAGGAGGAGTAAGAGTAGGAGGGAGGAGGAGGAGGACGAGGCGAGAGGACGGGGCGGAGCAGGAGAGGAGGAGGAGGGGAGGAGGAGGAGGAGGAGGAGGAGGAGGAGGAGGAGGAGGATGAGGTGGAGGGGCAAGGCGAGGACGAACGACCCCCCCCGCCGCCCGGGGCCGCGAGCGATCCGAGCGGCGCCTCGTCGGCGCGCTCGCCGTGCCGGGCGTCGCCCTCCTCTCGGGGGCTGCTGGCTGGGCCCTCCCCCCGCCCCCCGCCCCTTTTTCGCCTCCTTTCGGAGCTGCAGATTTCGTCTTCTCGTTTTTTTCTCTCGTTTTTGCCGTGTGGTTCCCCTTTTTTCGCTCCCCCCCCCCTCTTTTTTCGTTGCCTCGTCTTTGCCCCGCTGTTCCCTTCTCCCCTCCCCCTGCCCCGCTTTTCCGTTTCCTGCTGCCGCTTCCTCCCCTCCCTTCGCCCTCTCTCTTCCTCCTGTGACCTGCCCGGGTCTGCAGCCTCCATGCGTTTGCTGGCTGATTTTTCGCTTCTTGAGGGCCCCTCTGAATCGTGATGGGGGTGCTCTGGAGGCCGTGGGGGCCTTTTTGGAAGTCTTAGGTCGGGCATGTCCTCCTACAGGCGGGTTTTGTAAGAACAGTGAAACTAACAAAGCCATAATCAAACTAGCCACAAGAGTACGAAACATCGCTCCCTAACTACTTGTCTACTATTCTTGACTATTCCTTCTGTATGGGGGATATGCCAGACTTCCTGGTCATCCTGGGGGCGCCCTGGGCCAAGGGCACTTCTGGCGGCACCCGCTCCTCGAGCCGCGCCGCCGTGCCCCGCAGCGACTCGGCGAGCTCGGGCACGCGCGCCTGGCGGCCGCCAGGCTTGCCGTGGGCGGGGGCGAGGCCTCTTTTTGCTGCCGTCCTCTGTTTTCGTTCTTCGGAGCCGCAGCGACGCTGACCAGTGGCCTTCTGGGCGGGGGGGCCGAGGCTCAGACCCGCTGGAGTCGTGGCCAAACAAGAAGCACGGCGGGATCTTTTCCCCTTGCCTTCGGCCTCTGGGGGCCCTCGAGCGAGGCCCCAAGACCGACCGAAAACACGACTCATGATGACTCATGATGAGAAATCGGTCGCCGTGAAGGGGTCCAGAACTCCGGGGGTACACATCATGGAAAACATCGTGGCGTCGGGAGTCGAGGGTCGGGGGGGGGAAATCATAGTCAGAGGGATACATGACATAAACATAAAGGGGGGAGGAGGAGTAGGAGGAGGAGGAGGAGGAGGAGAGGGGAGAGGAGGAAGACGAGGAGGAGGAGGGAGGAGGAGGAGAAGGAGGAGGAGGAGGAGGAGGAGGAGGAGGAGGAGGAGGAGGAGGAGGCGGAGGAGAGGCGGAGGAGGAGGCGGAGGAGGGCGAGGAGGAAGAGGAGGAGAGGAGGAGGATGAGGAAGGAAAGGAAGAGGAGGAGGAGGCGGAGGAGGAGGAGGAGAGGAGGAGGAGGAGGAGGAGGAGGAAGAGGAGGAGGAGGAGGAGGTGGAGGAGGAGGAGGAAGAGGATGAGGAGGAGGACGAGGAGGGGGAGGAGGGGGAGGAGGAGGAGGAAGAATATGATGATGATGCTGATGATGATGGCGATCATGATGATGATGATGATGATGATGATGATGCTGATGACGATGAGGAGGAGGAGGAGGAGGAGGAGGAGGAGGAGGAGGAGGAGGAGGAGGAGGAGGAGGATGAGGAGGAGGAGTAGGAGGACGAGGAGGAGGAGGGGGAGGAGGAGGAGGTGGAACATGATGATGCTGATGATGCTGATGATACTGAGCATACTGATGATGCTGATGCTGCTGCTGATGATGCTGCTGATGATGCTGATGATGACGATGATGATGTGGAGGAGGAGGAGGAATAGGAAGAAGAGGCGGGCCCTTCATTGGTTAGCCCGCAGATGCAACGAAATTGCCAGCCTGGTGAAATCCGGAAAATATTACACACGTGCCGATTACTTCACAAAGCTTCTAAAGGCCACTTGCAAAGCGACAGAGACGGGAGGTACTTTCAGGTACCACTACCCTGGAGGACGTGAGGCCTGGATGGGCCTATTGCGGGCGGCTCTTGGGATATTCTGGGTACACCATGAGATTCTGTTCATAGATGTGATAGTCAACAATTTCACAACCCTCCAGAACTTCGCAGATTTTCAGGCGGCGCAGTGCCTGCCGCGCGAGAGAGCCGAGAAGGCCGCCAAGTGGGGCGACTGGTGCACGGAGGCCCTTGCTGGTGGAGCCAAGTGGGCGCACGCCTACACGAAGGTGGCAAATGAACGAAAGCAGGACCTCCACCCCACAGATGATGAGCACTACACGTCGTGTTTAACCCGTCAGTTGGAGGAGGAGGAACTGACATGGAGCAAAGCTTGGGGGAGGAAGCTAAGGAGGAAATGGAGATCGTGCGGCCCGAGGACATGGCGATCCCGAAACCCCCGAACATTGAGGAGATCCGTGCATTAAGCAAGTCTTTTAAAAGAAGTACAACTGCAGCCGATGGTTTCACCCCAGACACTTTAATTTGCTCGGTGGTGAGGCCCTAGGTGTCTTTCGGCAGGTCATGGCAGTCATGACGGTCGTGGGTGTGGCGCCCACCTGGATGAGGAAGCTCGTCCTCGCGCTCTTTCGCAAGCGAGTGTCGGGAAGGAGGTCGATTGGGTTCTTTCAGAGCACGGTTCGGATGGTGTCCAGATGGCATTCTAGGGATTGTAAACATTGGGGGCACAAGTAAAAAGATTTGGGAGTCTTCAACATGAGATCTGGGAGGTCACCCGCGGACACGGTCTGGAGGCAGCAAGTTCGAGGGGACCTGGCCACATCAGATAAGAAGCACGTGCTCAGCCTGCTAGCCGACCTCACTCAGTGCTATGAGCATGTGCATCATCCGCAACTTGTGCAGAGTGCCATAGATTGGCAGTACCCGCTGTACACATTGCGTTTTGCGTTGCACACGTAAGCGTGGGAGCGTATGTTGAATTTAGACGGGGTCATGTCCAAAGGGCTGGTTCCACATCACGGGATTGTCGCAGGAAGCAGTACGGCTACTTTTGAATTCAAGGGTTATTGTATACCGACGGTCAACAATTTCCTGGAGCAGGGTTTTTCGACAGATCAGCCGGTCCACGTAGATGACTTCAGTCTGAACGAGCGCTGTGCAGACATGTTTAAGTGCGTGCACAACATGGCGCTGGCGCTCGCGTTCCTGATAGACCTTCTCTCTAAGCTCTTTAATTTGACCTTTGCGATGAAGAAGTTCTGTATCACGGGCACCAGCGAGGATCTGGTGCGCTTTGCTAAGCAGAACCTCGCCCAATATGCTGGCCAGTATGATGTCTCGCTGGTCAACTTAGGCGTGGACTTCAACCCAGGGGAACACAAAGGGGTCAAACATGCCAAACAAAAGAGAAGGGAGCGATGGACACTGCAGTCGGGACGCCTCAACAAGATCATGAGTTTAAACAATCCAAGGAGATCCAGGGCAAATATCTGGTTTTGTGGGGTGAAACCCGCCACGACCTACGGGGAGGAGGTGGTGGGATGGAACCCTCGCGAGATTAGGAGATTACGTTCGCAGGCGGCGGCCATGCTCGGTCTCACGAGCTGCGGGGCTGACCTCAACTTGGCGTTTGCCCTCGAGCCGCAGCGGGATCCGTTGAAGCATGCAAGAGCTACTGTCACCAGATATGCAAAGGAGTTCCGGTTGGCCTCCGACCCAGTACACAAGCCAGGGGGCTGTCTAAATATTGGTGAGCTAAATCGCATCCTCAACTATGTCAGGGACTACGAAGAAAAACGTGATTCGGCCTCTTGGGACACGTTGTCATGGGGTCCTGTGGGGATATGCTGTTATGGCTTAAGAAGGCGTCTTGGGAGATCAGAGGTCCTGGATTATTCTCAATGCGGTCGGGGACCCCTTGTGTGCTCACGGAGATCCCCTATGTGCAGGTATCTAACTACTTCTTCAAGGATCTAGGTAAGGAGTTCGTGGCCACTAGCATGCAGAAGTATTTAGGCAGTAGTGAACACCAGCGAGCTCAAGAAATTTTAGACAGAGGACTGTGGACGGACTCCCCAGAGCGTTTTGGAATGGCTCCAAGGGAAAGAACCTCAAACGTGTTGTGAAGCAGGTGTTCACTAGAAGCTACGTCACGGCGGCGCACCTGCACAGATGGAGGTATCAGGTGGAGCCTACCTGCCCGTTCTGCTAGAAACAGCTGCGCCTGGACAGCGTCTGGCACAGGGCTTTCGAGTGTTCGAACTTTGCCGGGCAGAGGCGTGAGTACATGCCGATAGAGTGGGCGGAGGCGGGACTGGAGGCTGGGGAGGATGATCCGTTCTTCAGTAATCTGTGGCTTCCTCAACCAGACGGGATTGTTCCTGCGCTGTGGGAAGGGGAGGTCAGATATGCAGGCCCAGAGGGCCCAATTTCGGAGTTCAGATTTTCGCAGAACGTCCATATTTATTCGGATGGTTCGTGTTTTGGAGGTACGTATGAACAGGTGGCCAGAGCTGGTTGGGCGGCGGTTGCGGTTGATGATGAGGGACTCCTGGTCCAGGCTGTTTTTGGAAACGTTCCTGGGTTCTTACCTCAGAGTGCGGTTTTCGGAGAGTGTTACGGGCTGCTGCAGGCCTTAAGTCACATTGGAGGAGACCCAGGGCGTGCCGATCCAGATAGGCCTTTTACCATTCATGTTGATTGCAAAAGTCTGCTCTCAGCTCAGGATGTTCTTGCTGCCACCTCGGGCAGAACCCCGCTGGCAGAAGTTTGGCGGGCTCTCTACTCGAAGACGTTTCCAGCTTGGGGTCTCAAAAAGGTCAAGGGCCATGTCAGGGAGGAGCAGGTTGGGATCCAATAACGTCACCAGAGAGGAAACGACCTTGCGGATGAGTTCGCCAAGGATGGGGCGAAGATCCATCCCCAGACGCTGGAGAACATCCACAGATATGAAGTCGTGATGTCGGGATGTAGTGAAGTAGCGTTAGGCGTTACCAATATTCTCGCCGAGACCCCGAAAGCCCAAGAGCTGTTTGGGAAGCTAGATAGGGCTTTATCGAGATCTGTGGAGCCTCCGAAGGTCGCAAGTAAGCGCTCTCACTCCGTTCTGTGGAATGGTTCCATGTGTAGGTGCTGCAAGTGTGCTAAGAGTTTCAAGTCTAAAACTGCCAAAGGGGTGTGTGCAGCCTTAACCCCAGCCCTGCTGAAGGTCAGGGATTTGGCGGTAGAGCCCCCGCATAAATTGTTCGTTTGTAGAGTTATTGAAACGGGACTCCCCGTGATTTTTTGTTTGCGGTGCGGGGCCTACACGTCGGGCCCTGCGAGGGCCCTGGGGGCCCCGTGCGGCAAAATATTTAAGCAGCAGCGCACGCAACTTCTCGGTGGGAGGTTGCCGTGGCCACGGGGAATGCATGTCTCGAAGCCTTGGCCCTTAGCTTCCCGACAGGAGGAAGGGGAGTGGTGGGCCAGGCTGCAATCTATATAATAATATTTTCCGTTTACCCAGTCCCTTCGAGCCGAGCTTGTAGGAGATGATGAAAGAGCCAGCAAAAGGAGAAGAAGGTGGAGGAGGAAGAGGAGGAGGAGGAGGAGGTGGAGGAGGAGGATAAAGGGTGCTGATGATGGTGATGATGATGACGATGAAGAGGAGGATAAGGAGGAGCAGGATGAGGAAGAAGAGGGGGAGGGAGGAGGAGGAGGAGGAGGCGGAGAAAGAGGAGGAGGAGGAGGAGGAGGAGGAAACACCGGAGGAGGAGGAGGCGGAAGAAGAAGATGAGGATGAGGAGGAAGATGAGGATGATGAGGAGGAGGATGCTGAGGAGCAATAAAAAGGAGGAAGATGAGAAGGAGGAACACGAACATGAAGAGGAGGGAGGAGGATAAAGAGGAGGATGGTGAGGAGGAGGAGGAGGAGGACAAGGAGGAAGAAGAGGAGGAGGATGAGAGGAGGAGGAGGGGAGGAGGAGGAGGGGGGAGAAGGAGGAGGAGATGGGGGCGAAGGATGTTGATGTTGATGTTGATGATGATGATGATGATGATGATGATGTGATGATGATGATGATGATGATGATGATGAAGTGGAGGAGGAGGGGAGGAGGAGGAGGAGGGAGGAGGAAGGAAGAGGAGGGGAGGAGGAGGAGGAGGAGGAGAGGAGGGGGAAGAGGAGGGAGGAGAAGAGGATGACGAGGAGGAGGAGCAGAAGGGGGAGGAGGAGGACGAGGAAAGGAAGGAGGAGGACGAGGAGGAGGAGAGGAGGAGAAGGAGGAGGAGGAGGAGGAGGAGGAGGAGGAGGGCCGTAGCCATTTTGGCGAAAGGCTAACCGTTGTGAAGGGCTAGAGACGCCCGAGAGATCAACGATTAGCTTTGCGGCCTCTCCGTCGGCCTTTGTCGAACCAATTTCGGGCCTCAAGTGGCCCCCTCTTTGGGCCTCCAGGAGACTTCTCGCGGCCACGGCTGGACCCGCCTCGATCCAGTCAGTGCCAAAGGGGGTCACCACAAGGGTGGGGGTGGTCGGCACCTCCTCGTTGAAACGGATCCCCCTCTGGGCCTCCCAGACTCTCAAGGACGTCCAACAACGTCCAGAGCCGCCCCGATCCTTGATCCTCCTCGACCCTCGATTTCCAAGGAGGGGAGGAGGAGGGGGAGGAGGAGGAGGAGGAGGAGGAGGAGGAGGAGGAGGAGGAGGAGAAGGAGGAGGATGATGCTGTAACCCAGCTAGTGGTGACCCCCCCTGGCACTGCCCAGTCGATGTTCTGGCCAGCGCGCAGGCCTGGGGACTGCGTTCTGAGGAGGGCGCCTCTCGTGCCTTTGCGGGTGCTTGTGCTCGCTCCCCCGCTCGGGCCCCGCTCGTGCCGCGGAGGTCGAGCGCCTCGGGCCTCCCCCCCCCCCGGCCTGGGATACTCCTGAGGATGCGTGCCAGGTCCTCCAGGTCCTCCTCCTCCTCTCCTCCTCCTCCTCCTCCTCCTCCTCCTCCTCCTCCTCCTCCTTCTCCTCGTCCTCCTTCTCCAGACCTCGTGGGAGCCGCCTTGTGAAAAAAAAGGGCGACGTCGGATATCTGGGGACGGGGAGGGCATGAACGAAGGACGAGGGTGGGGAGGCAGGCAGGGAGGTGGAGTGAGAGAGGGCGGCAGCAGGGGGAGGGGAATGGAGAGGGAAGCGGGGGAGGGAGGGGGCGGGGGGGCAAGGAGGGTGAGCGATCTAGGGGGAGGAGGGTGGGTGGAGCGGGGGAGGAGGGCGATGAGTGGGATGGGGCAAGGGAGGAGGCAGGCATGGGGGGGAGGGGAGTGGGGAGTGGCAGAGGGAGGCGAGTGGTAGGATAGGGGCCCATGGCAGCCTTCCCCCCCCCCCCACTGCATCCACCCCTGGGCGCCGCCGCGAAAGGGCCCATCCCACAGCAGTCCTCCTGGCTCTATCCCTCCTCGCGCCTTCGTCGGCCATGTGCGAGGGTGCCTCCCCCCCCAACCCTGGTCGTGCCGCCAAAACAGGAGCGGGGGCGGTGGAAAGCGATGTGCGGGAGACGGCGAGGGCCAAGCCGAGCAGCGGCTGTGGCGCCCCAGGCCCTCCAGAGGGCGCCCGAGGGTGGCCAGAACTGGAAGGGTCGCACCGCATCGCCGGTGCATCGGCGGCGTCGGGATGAGGAAAGCCAGGCTCTGCATCGTGCCGCATTGGCGATGCGGCGCGATCCTCCGGCCCCGCCTCTTCTGTGGCCCTGGCAAAACGGCCTGGAGTGGCGTTCTCGCTGACCCTCTCTCCAGCCCTTCCTGCCACGAGCAAGCCTTGTGGGCGCGATCTGCTTCGGTTCACTGCGCATGGGCTGGCGTACTTGCCATCGCATGTGGTCGGGTGCCCCGAGTGCGCGGCTTATGAATGTGGATCTCATGGCGACGAACAGTGCCGACGATCGACGCCAGTGCCAATGTGGCGACGATCCACGCGAAGGATGACCCGCAGCAACAGTTGAAAGTCTCGTCCCCCCCTCATGGGAGGTTCGGGATTCGGGCCTCACTGGGGCTTCCGAACATGAGGCCCCCGAGTGAAACCCGTGGGACGATGTACAAGAGAGTGGTCCAGAATGTGATGAGGCTTAGGCATGCACGGACTTCACTCCAGTCTTTAGAAGCGTTCAGAAACAGTAGGAGCTTGACCACAAGAAACCTTCCACAAGAAACCCAATCCTGAGATCCCAGGACGTCCATTGATTTTTGGTGTGGGGACGTCGCGCTTTCCATAGCAAAATCATCGAAACCAAAGAAACCAATGGCACTCTGGAAGCTGGCGGGGTGTTTCTTGGCATGGGTTTCCAGTGAACTCTCTGGCCTGACGATGGGGGAAACCAATGTGGGCTTTCTGACGGTCCTTTGCCTCATGTGGGAAGCTCCTTCTGTGCTGGAAGCCTGCCGCGGCGGCCCCGCAGCGTGGGGGATCTGGTCGGGCCGTCTGTTCCCGACGCGCTCACGTGGACGAAACCAACACCACGGCACCCACGGCAAACCCTGAGTATCGTTTAACCGATCCCCATCCCCAGCGGCGTGGCCTGGGCCCCACTAGGCGATTTACCCCCTAGATGGGGATACAGGCCGTATTCTTCGGGTTTCGGGGGGTGTATCCCCAACTGGGGTGGTAATTTGGCGGGGGTCTCGAAGGGGATGAGCATGGGGATGGGGAGTCCCCATCCCCATGCTCATCCCCTTCGAGACTGGGCTTCGCACCCGCAACGAATTCTTTGTTCACAATGGCAGCCTTCTATACTTTCGGGGCTGTCGCCGTCGATGTCCGCCACCCCCGCCTCCCACCCCCCAAAAATCTTTGGGCAAACTTATGTATACGCGAGGCCCCCCCTCTGACTGCCCTGTAGGAGCAACCCCCCAAATGACAGCCAAATGGGGACGGTTAAACGATACTGACAAACCCTGCGCCCCGCGCCCCGGATGGGCGAAGCTGGCACCGCAGCGAACCCCACGGCACGCCCACCGCGTCCGAGGCGGCGCCTGCCCCGGTGCCCCGGGGCGCCCTCCCCCAGAGACGGCAGGCCACGCCTCGGCACAGACGGCGCGGCGACACATGCAGAAGCGACCCGCACGCCGCCTCCGCCTCCGCCTCCGCCTCCGCCTCCGCCTCCGCCTCTGCCTCCGCCTCCGCCTCCTCCTCCACCTCCGCCTCCTCCTCCTCTTCCTCCTCCTCCTCCTCCTCGTCCTCCTCCTCGTCCTCCTCCTCCTCCTCCTCCTGGCATGGTGTCCACGCCCCTCCTGGCCAAGGCTTGGGGGGGCCCCGTGCGCGGCCGGATCCCAGGGCGGCCCCAGCGCCAAGCTCGGTGGCGGTGCGGAGGCACCACCTGCGGGTCTGAGGTTAGGTCGGGCATGTCCCCCATACAAGGGTAGTTTGGGCGAAAAATTAAGAACACACCAAAAAAACCAAATAGCCAAACAATGTTCAAAACATCGTCCCCAGACTATCTTTGGACTATTTTTGAATTTCCTCCAGTAGAGGGACAGGCCCGACTCAAGTCTGAGGCCCGCACGCTCAGGCTGTCGAGCTCGACGCGGGCCTGGTCGGCCTTCACCCTCATGGTGTTTAGGTAGGCGTTGATGGGGTGCAGGCTACGCTCGAGGAGCTGCGCCACCTCAAAGCGACACAAGACGGCACAAGGATAAACAGTTGTAGGTGCGCGCGGGCTGCTTGGATCTGCGCTGGACTCCGTCCCAGGCGCGCGGGGCGCGCCAAGCGCGGTGCCAGAGTCGCCGCCAGGAGGGCCCAGCGCAGATCAAAAGAACCCGCTCGTAGCTCCTTGAAGTTTACGTGCGTGCTGTTTGTTCTTCTGCGTCACCTGGCTGCTATGCTCGTTGATCTGCGCGTCCGTCGCGCGACGCGCCTCCTCCAGCGTGCCGTCGGTGCGCTCCGCATGCTCGTCGAACAGCCGCGCGAGCTCCTCGACGCGGCCGTCGAGGCTGGCGTGCATGCCCTCGAGCTGCCTCGCGCTCGCGCCCACCGCGTCCTCCACGTCCACCTGCCGGACCCGCGAGGCCAGGAGGTCCTGGACCGCAAGCTTCGTGGTGTCGAGCTGGGAGTTGAGCGCCTTCAAAAACGTAGAAAACTGATATCAACTTTCGGAGCCTCCCGGATTTCTTGGGCCGGCGCCGGACCTCCCCCCCTGGCGGGCGGAGCGCGCCATGCGCGGCGCTGGAGGCGCCGTCAGCGGGGCCCCGCGTCGGTCCAGAAAGTTCGCGCGGAGCTCTGGAAGTTCATGCTTGCGCAGCTATTCCTTCCCCAGACATATAACCCAGTGCTCCCGATAATAAACCCCTGGAGAAAGTAATGTTCGGGGGTCTGGCGGGGATACTCAACGATCTTCCTGGCGAAGGCGATGGTGATGATCGGGGTGATCCTGGGCGCTCGTGTAGACTGACCTTGTAGATCTTGGCGCGAGACTGACCCGGGAGATCTCGAGTCTCGTGGCTACAACTTGCCTGCGCAAGAGAGGTCCTTGGCGCTCCTGCCCAAGAAACCTCTCCTGCGCACGACCTCGAACCGCTCGCCCGCGCAGGCTGGGCACCCTTCGGGGCCGTCCTTGCGCGGGGGGCACTTGGTGCAGGCCTGGGCGGCAGCGCTTGTCTCCTCGAAGGTGGCGTGCTTCGGCTCGACTGCCGTGGGGTCCTTGAAGGGCGTGGACTTGGCCTTGCTCTGGGCCTTTGCCTTGGTTCTGGCCGAGTCGTTGTCGCTGGCCTCCCTGAGCTTGTTGATCCACCCGTTGCCTCGGGCGCGCATGGTGCTGATGCTCGCTGGTGCTTGGCGGCCCTCGCCTCGGATCTCGCGCGGGGCGCGCTCGATCCAGCGACTCGTCCGCAGGCCGCAGGGGCAGGCGTCGGCCTGGAACATCTCGTTGCTCCTCGCAGGGCAGGTCTCGCCAGGGCCAATGGCGTCGAGCTTGCGGGGGATCCCCATGGCGGCCTTGGGGGGCCACGTGCGAACCCTGCCCCGACCTCCCCCGCGACTTCCGAGGAGGAGGAGGGCGGGGTTCACTTCGTTCGGCAGCTCCCGAGCAAAATGAACCCTACCCCCCCCCTCAGAATTGGCGGGGTGTAGGTGTGAGTTCGCATGTGGCCCTTTAGGCCTGCTTGGCGCTGTCGAGCGGCTGCTTGAGGGCGTCGCGGCACTCCGCCGCGACACCCCCGCCGATCCTCGAGACCTTGGCGGGCGTTGCTACAAGTGCCCCCTGCCCAGGGCACCTCCAGGATTCGCCTCGAAACGGAGCGAAAAACTGGGGGCACCTTGGGGTAAGGACAACTGTAGCAACCGCCGGCCTTGAGGTAGGTGTAGTGCGCGGGCGCCTCGGAAGGCAAGCAGATCAGGACGTGCTCGGCCTTGTTGGCTCTGTCGGCCCAGCGCTTCTGCTCCTCGGGCTGCTAGGCGGCGGGTTCGTCTTCGCCCTGGCCCTCTCGAGCCCCGGCGGCGGCCGCCGTGGGCTCGACCGCCGGAACGGTCTCGGGGGCGCCCGCGCGCCCCTCGATTTCGCCCAGCAGCGCATGCGCTGCGCCCAGCTCGAGGGCGTCGCCCTTGACGATCTGCCTGCAGTTCATGATCGCGTACTCCTTGGCGAGCTCGGTCCGGCGCCAGTCGAGCATGCGCGGCTTGGGGGGCGTGCAGTCCTGCTCGATCGTGTCCTGTGGCGCTCGAGATTCGCAGGCACTCGTTAACTTCCGCCTGATTGCGCTTCGTGGCTTCAGGATGCCGCCGTCGCTTCCGCCGCCAGCTTTCCGCCAACTTGCGCCGCCTCCGCCGTCTCTTCCGCCGTGTGCGCTTGCTTCTGCCACCTCAGGCGGAAGCGGGCGGAAGCTAGGCCGCGGTCTCCACCTCGTGGGCGCGCGGGCGGCGCGCGTCCTCGGTGCCCAGGACTCGACGGACGTCCTGCGCTCTGCCGCGCCTGCCCTCGTGGGCCCCCTCGTCAGTGACGCGAGCCATCTTGCCGTGCCGGGGGTGGTCCTTGCAAGCCTCGAGGCCTGTTTTCTTCTTGGCTTCGCTTGCTTCTTGGCGCCCTTCTCCGCTTGCGCCTTGGCCTTGCTCTTCTGGGAGGAACTCGTCTTGGCCCTCGGGGCCCTGCCTGTGAGCTTCCTCGGCCACGCCTCGGCTCAGGTGCTCGAGCGAGGCCTGGCCGCCAGTCTCGGCCTTCGCGCGCTGCCACTTGCGCTGCAGCTTGCCCAGGAACTGGCCCGGGAACTGGGGCGCCCACCTGCTCTTGCATATACTTGTTCGCTTGAGCGCGATCTAGTTCTCGAGGGCGCGCGGGAACTGGATCTCGTTGATCCGCTCGTCTGGCGTTCTGAGCATGTCCTTCTGCTCGTCGGTGAGCTCGGGGGCCAGGTCTCGGAGCTCCAGGAGGCAGGGGTTCTCGCCCTGCTCGTAATCCATGGGCAATTCGCCGAGGTGGAAGCAGTTCCGTCGAGGGCGCTCCCCTCGGGCACGGGCGGCGTGCCCGCGGGCCACCTCTGCGTGCCCTCCAGGCGCTCGCTCGCCAGGCTCTGCTCGATGCCGCGGCCGGGCTCGACGGAGTAGCTCCACGGCTCCATGCCCGTGGCGACCTTGAGCTCGCCGTGCTCTGTCGGCCGGGCCGCGAGAATATGGTTCGCTTGCAGCCCTTGGAATGGCACCGCGTCCTTGTTCTTCTCGCGGAAGCGGGTGCATGCCTCGGAGACGCAGTAGAGGCGCTCGTGCGGCCCCCACTGGGTCGGGGACTTGTACTGCTTCTCGGGCTCGGCCTTGGCCATCAGGACCCAGTCCTGCTCCGCGGCCCAGTGCATCTCGGCCTTGACCTCTCGAAGCATGGCCTTGAGCTGGCTGTGCTCGTGGGTGTCCGGCTCCTGCAAGAAGCTCGCGACGTCGGTGGCCATGGGCGCGTGGGCCACATTCTCGAGCCATGCTCGGAGCGTCACTGCCTCGGTCCACTGGCTCGAGAGGCAGTCTGCGAACGCGAGGCTCTGGCCGTGCTGCTGCTCGATGAAGTCGATGGTCCAGTAAGCGACGAGATCGTCCGTCCAGGCCCCGGGCTGCCCCCCGCGCATCGATGGCCTCGAAGACCCTCGCGCGTTCCTTCTCGGAGAACTCGAGCAGGGCGTTGCGCCAGCCCCTGGGCAATGTTCCTAGGGGCTCGCCTGCTCGGATGCGCTCCGTCTCGCCGTCGCTCCGCTCGCGGGTGACGTCGCGCCGCCAGGCGCCCTCCTCGAGGTTCATGTCGCTCACTCGGCAGTGCCTTGCGCAGTGGGCGAGGAGCACGCTGCGCTTCTTGGCGGACTTGGGCTCCCTGCTCAGGCCAAACCAGCCGTCGACTGCGGAGATGTTGATGAGGGTGATCCTGTACTTGTCCCCTGCGCTCGAGTAGGCCTGGTCCACGTGCTCCTTCTGGTCGAGGTATTCTGCCAAGCGCTTGACCTTCTCGGTCTCGAAGGCTGCCTTGTCCTCCTCGGCCTGCGTCTCGCGGTGCTTGCGGCGGAGGTTCTGGATGCGTCTCTTGGCGCCTGCAGCGTAGATCTCGCTCTCGTGGATGTGCGCTTGCTCCTCGCCCCGGAGCTTGGGCCAGAGCGCGGTGGCGTCGACGACGACCGCGCTCGTGCCGGCCCTCTGCTGGGCAAAGGTCTCGGGGCCCCCGACGAAGAGGCCGAGGTCCTCGGAGCCGCCCCTCGCCACCAGGTTCACGAACCTACTGGAAGCAAACCAGTTGTCGTCGTCGTAGTAGTAGTAGTAGTAGTAGTAGCAGTAGTAGTAGTAGTAGTAACAGTAGTAGTAGTAGTAGCAGTAGTAGTAGCAGTAGTAGTCGTAGTAGTAGTAGTAGTAGTAGTAGTAGTAGTAGTAGTGGTAGTAGTAGTCGTCGTTGTAATAGTAAGAGTAGTAGTAGTAGTAGTAGTAGTAGTAGTAGCAGTAGTAGTAGTAGTAGTCGTAGTAGTAGTAGTAGTAGTAGTAATAGTAGTAGGAGTAGTAGTAGTAGTAGTAGTAGTAGTAGTAGTAGTCGTAGTGGTAGTAGTAGTAGTCGTAGTCGTAGTCGTAGTCGTAGTCGTAGTAGTAGTAGTAGTAGTAGTAGTAATAGTGGTAGTAGTAGGAGTAGTAGTAGTAGAAGTAGAAGTAGTAGTCGTAGTAGTAGTAGGAGTAGTAGTAGTCGTAGTCGTAGTCGTAGTCGTAGTAGTAGTAGTAGTAGTAGTAGTAGTAGTAGTAGTAGTAGTATTAGTAGTAGTAGTGGTCGCAGTAGCTGTAATCGTAGTAGTAGTAGTAGTAGTAGTAGTAGTAGTAGTAGTGATAGTAATAGTAGTAATAGTAGTAGTAGTAGTAGTAGTAGTAGTAGTAGTAGTAGTAGTAGTAGTAGTAGTCGTAATAATAGTAATCGTGGTAGTTGCAGTGGTCGTAGTCGTAGTTGTAGTAGTTTTAGTAGTAGTAGTAATAGCTACCTTAGTTGGGCTCGTAGTAGTAGTTACTCGTGGTAGCCGTAGGAGTTGCTGCGCTAGCAGCTAGTTAATCGTAGTAGTAGTAGTAGTAGTAGTAGTAGTAGGTGGTAGTAGTAGTAGTAGTAGTAGTAGTAGTAGTAGTAGTAGTAGTAGTAGTAGTAGTAGTAGTAGTAGTAGTAGTAGTAGTAGTAGTAGTAGTAGTAGTAGTAGTAGTAGTAGTAGTAGTAGTAGTAGTAGTAGTAGTATTAGTAGTAGTAGTAGTAGTCATAGTAGTCGTAATGGTAATAGTAGTAGAAGTTACTAGTCGTAGCAGTATGTACTAGTTGTAATCGCTACTAGTAGTTACTGGTAGTAGTCGTAGTGCTAGCGGTAATCGTGGTCGTAGTAGTAGTAGTCGTCGAAGTAACAGTAGTAGTAGTAGTCGTAGTAGTAGTCGTAGTAGTAGTAGTAGTAGTAGTAGTAGTAGTAGTAGTAGTAGTAGTAGTAGTAGTAGTAGTCGTAGAAAATAATAATGATGGTGTAGTTGTAAGTCGTTGTACTGGTAGTAGTAGTAGTAGTAGTAGTAGTAGTAGTAGTAGTCGTAGTCGTAGTAGTAGTAGTAGTAGTAGTAGTAGTAGTAGTAGTAGTAATATTCGTAGTAGTACTAGTG